TAAAAATTAAAATTAAAAAAAGATTTGTGGACGCTTAACACAGACACAGAGCAGGGCAGGAGGAGTCGTGTTAGAGTTTTTCAAGTCTATAAGCTGGTTCTTGCACTGAACAAATCGCACAGCCTCTTGAGCTTAACTGAGCTGTGAAACATATGCTGTCAATGTTTCTTATTTTGTTTCCATCTTTACTTTTTAAAAAATCTTTTTTTCTTCTTAATCTCATGCACTGAGGGCTGATGCAGAGTACCTTATATTCCATGTATGATCCATCAGCACTATTGCTTCCTGTGAGGTCACTTCTGTGCCACAGGTATTCACTCCTTATTCTCTTAGTAACTCTAACAACCACAACTTGCCACTACCACCTAATAGGAAACCGTTCTCAAATACTTCATGTGTGACTCTTATTATGGTATGTTCTTGCAAAACTTACATGTATTTCATTTTCTATGCATGTGTTGTCCTAATATAAGCAGACTGGTTTAACATCACTAGTACTCCTTGGGTCTTTAGCCTAGTCCTCTGCCTTTATGGTCCAGCGTGCTTCCCCGTCCTTGGATCCCTGTGACTCTGAGGCATGCTGCCATCACACTTAGATTTTCACTCTTCCAGGAGTGGACTCTGAGGTCAACTCCTACCCTGACATCTACAGAGCATGACAAGGAGAGTGCTGTATCTGTCTCCATGACCCAGTGGGAATTTCACCACAGAGATGCAGCAGTGCTGTCACATGACACATTCACTCCTTAGTCCCAGGATCTGGAGAGGATGCACCAACCTGTGCCCCTTTGGCCAGCAGCACGTGAGTGCTCCATGCCTGTGTGCTCCCACCAACACTTGGCACAAATCCAGCGGGATAATTTGTACTGGTCTAATCAACATAAAGTGCTATAACAGTGCTTCATTTCACATTATTCTGACTAGAAATAAATTTGAATATCTCTTCATTAGCCTTTTGTTTTTCCTTTTCTGTAAATTGTCTCTCAAATCTTTTGCCCATTTTCTTCAAAAAGTTATGAGTTCCCTATTGCTGATATTACAAATTACCACAAATTTAATGCTTTAAAACATCACAAATTACCTCATATTCCTGGAAGTCAAAAGTCTAAAACAGGTCTTGCTGGACTAAAATCAAGGTGTCTACAGGACTATGTTTGTCCTGCAGGCTTTAGGAGAAATTTTTTCTTGTTTTTTTCCAGGATCTAGAGGCCACTGCATTCCTTGTCTTGTAGCTCCTTCCTCTACCTTCAAAGTCAGCAGCTTATCTTTTTTTAAGCTTTATTTTATTCATAATTGACACATAATAATTGGACATATGGGTTACAGAGTGATGTTTTAATACATGTATACATTGTATAATGATCAAATCAGGGTAATTAGCATATCTGCCACTTTAAACATTTATCATTTCTTTGTGATGACAACATTCAAAATCCTCTCTTTCAGCTATCTTAAAATATACAATACATTATTGGCTATAGCCACTCCATTGTTAACAGAACGCCAGAACATATTCTTTCTCTCTAACTGTAATTGTGTTCTTGTAGACCAACCTTTCCCCTTCCTCACCTTCCTAGTCTCTGGTAAGCATTATTTTTCTACTTCTATTAGATCTACTTTTTTAGATGTCACATCTGAGTGAGAACATGTAGTGTTTGTCTTTCTGTGCCTAGCTTATTTCACTTGGTACAATGTCTTCCAGGTTTATCCATGTTGTCACAAATGATAGGATTAATTCTGCTTTATGGCCAAATAGTATTCCAAGCTCATTTCCTTTATTCATTCATCAGTTGATGGACACTTTGGTTAGTTCCATGTCTTGGCTGCTGTGAATAGTGCCTCAATGACCCTTGTAATTACATAGAGCCCATAAGATAATCAAGGAATATTTCCTCATCTAGAGGCCAAATTGATAGCAACTTTAATGTCATCTGCAACCTTAAGCCTCCCTGGACATACAAGAAAACACAATCACAAGTTCCAGGGATTAGGACATGGACAACTTTGTATGGGTCATGTATTTTCTGGTTTACTTAAAGGATTTCAATGTATGTTCTAGATATTGATGCCTTATTGGTTTCAGACTTCACATATATCTTCTCCATTCTCTCATTTTTCATTAACTTTATCCACGGCAGCCTTCTTTGAAGTTTTTAATTTGTCATAGTCTAGCTAATTTTTGCTCTTTGAGGTTTTATTTGAAAATTCCTTTTCTGCCTGTAGGCAATAAAGGAATCATCTTACACTTTTCCCCCATTAACTTTATGGCTTTTACCTTTCACATTTAGGTCTTTAATCCATCTGGAGTCCATTCTGTGCGATTTTATGCAAACAGCATACTGGTTTTATAACTATAACTTTGTAGTATATTCTACCCTCTGGAAAGTCAGGCCCTCTAGTTTTGCTTTCCTTCTTCAGTGTTGACATCTCTTTTCTCAGATCTTTAGTAACCTTTAGATTTTCATGTGAATTTGAAATGCTTATTGAGTTCTTCAAAATCCACCTGGAATCTTGATTTGAAATCACATTTTATTTACAAATTGAGGAAACCAGCCACATTTACATTATTAGTGTTATCTAAACAAAACATGAAATTGCTCTTCCCTTTATTCATGTTATCTTCTGAGTCCTTTATCAGAGTGTTAAGTTTTGACCATAGAGTTCTTGTGCATTCTAACGTAGATTAACTTCTGGATACTTTACAAGTTTTGATGCCATTATGAACAGCATGACATTTAAAAAATTATATTTTGTTTGGTTATTGTTGGTACAGAAAAAGACTATTTTTAAAAATCCTGATCTTGCATCCTGAAAATCTGCTAAATTATTTTATTAGTTCTAATAGGTTTTCACTCTCTTGGCTCTTCTAGAATATATCCTGTTTTATTTCTTTCTTTCAAAAACTGACTCTTATTTCTTTAGTTTTCCTCATTTATTGAGAAAGACCTCTAGTGTTATGTAAAACAAAAGTAGTGGGATTGGTAACCTTGCTTCACTTCTAACCTTGATGTGCATGCATCTAATGTTCTCTATTAAGTGCAATGCTTGTGAAAGTGTTTTGTATATGCCCTTTACCAAGTTTAGAAAGTTCTCTTCTGTAACTGGTTTTTTGCGAGCTCTTGCCATTAACAGGTATTAAACCCCATCAAGTAATCTGCATTAACTGAGTTAATCATATCATTTTCTTCTACCAACCCATTAAAGTAGTGATTTGCTTGTTCTCATGTTGAAACAACCTTGAAATCTTGTGATAGGGTCTATTAGATCACAATGTTTTATTTAGATTTGTTTTAAATACACCTCTGAAATTGGTAAATTAATATTTAAAATTAAATTTTGAAGTATAGTTACTAAAAAAATGGGATTATTCTTTCTTTTTTTCCCCTAAAATTATATGATCCCCAAGTCAAGATTATATTTGCATGATATAAAGTGCCAGGGAGATTTTATTCTCTATTTTCTGGAACAAACTGTGTAAATTATAAATCAAGTGTTCCTTAAAGTTAGGCATAATTCATTCACAAAACTATGTGTGTGAGAACTTTCTTTTGAATGGAAGTCTTCAATTGTCATTTAAATGCATTTGGTATTTATTGGCCTGTTCAATCTCTCCATTTCTCCTGGAGTCTATTTTGACTTTTTATGTTTTCCTAGGAAGTTATCAATTTCAGCTAAGTTTTCAAATGTGTTAGCACATGGCCTTTCACAATGCTCTGAATTTTTCTCTTGGTTCTATCTATAATTACTTCTTATTTTTTATTCCACTGATTGTCACCAGTATCATCCTTCCACTTTCTTTACTCAGTTTTATCCTAAGTCTAACGACTCAGAAACAAACAAAAAACTAACAGCTTTTAACTATGTGAATCTTCTCTAGGTTTTTCTGTATTCTCTATTTCTGCCCTTTCCTTTATTATTTCTTGGTTCCTGGGTTTGTTCCCTTGCTCTTTTTTCAGTCTCTTGGACTAGTTTATCTTGGCATTTTAAATTTTTCATGTTCTTAACACAGGTATTTATAGCTACAAATTGTCCTTCTAAGCACAGATTTAACCTTGTCACATTAGTTTAGACATGTGCTGCTTTATAATCATGTATCCCTAAAATTCTTTTATTTCTCTTATGATTTTATTTCTAACACAAGTATTTTTATAACATATTATTTATCAAAGTTACTCCTTTATTATTAACGTCCAGTGTAATGGCCTTATGCTTTCTACATGATGTGTTGCAAATAGTCAGATTTCACTGAGGCCCAGACACATCTTAGCTTTGTAAATGTTCTCTGTATGCTTAGAAAGTAACATAGGGAGCTCAAAATATTCCTAAAAGCTTAAACTTATTTATTGCATTGTTTAAGACATTAATGCTCCAGATTTTTTTGGCCCATTTCTTGGAGGGGTGTATTAAAATCTCTTTCTTGGAGGGGTGTATTAAAATCTCTGAATACTACTGCCCATTCAAGCAACTTTCCTGCAGTTGCATAATAGAAGTTCATGGCAACCACTTAAGCCGCAGGCACTGATGCTCCCATTTCTGATGCTACCCTGGCCCCAGGCTCTCATGACTCACTCTTTCTAAACATCCCAAGACTATCCCCAGAGTCCCTGCACAATCTTCTTGCCCCTCATTCCTGAAACCTGTGCTTTCCCTGTCTCCCTGGGTTCTCCAGGGCTGGCTCCACTGCACTTTCCCTGTCTCCCTGGGTTCTCAAGGATTGGCTCCAGGGAGGTGGAAAGCCTGTTTGAGAAAGCCACCTGGGCAGGAATGGGTTCCAGGGGTGTCCAGCCATAGCCAGTTCACAGCCAACAAAAACGGGAAGCCTCAATTTCCCGAAGTCATATACTGGAGAGCCTGAGGGCACACCATGGACTGAAGTGGGTAAAATACATATTGCACTACTTCAAACACAGTTCATTTTTCAAGAGTGAGTCTGACTTTGTTATAAGCATTCCTGATAAACAAACAAAGAAGCAAACAAAAGATAGTATGCAGTAACTCACCTTCCCCCATAAGCAGGCTATAGGTTCAGAGCAGATCCATAGACAGCAAAGGTTCAGACTTATTGTAACTCAGAGCATCATAACCAGAACGGGTGATTTATAGGAGGATTGATTTTTGTCATGGAGCCCACCTACCTAAAACACAAAAACACAGAGCTACATGAGCTTACATATGTGTGATCTTGTCTAAGACTGGACTTCAACAGAGCTGCTTCTTGCATTCAACAGAGCAGTAAACATTCTTCAGCATTCAAGAATAAAGGCACCATGCAGAGTGTGGAGACCAGCATGAGCTTACTCTGGGAGTATGCCTCCCTGTGTAACCCAAATGAGGCTGTTCTACACAAAGTCAGGCTTCTATTTTACAAGTGAGAAGTCCAAATTGGAAAAATTGCTTAAGTTTTCTACTTATAATATTTAGTAGATCTGCATATATATACATATGTACTGACTTTGAAGTAATATTTAAGTTACATATTAACTTAGATACATTACACATTAAATACATTACTTCACAGCTAGTACATAATTTCATCCAATCTCTTCATTTTCAGCATGCGATTCTGTCCCACCAGAGCTGCTTTCTGATATCTAGTGTTTTTTTCCAGAGTACATCACTTTTATCTTCATCTAAGTTTTTAATGTTTACCTTTCTGAATTTATATTTGGTGTTGACACTGGAAATTTGATACCCAAATGCAATGACTCATTCACAAAATAATCCTCTTTGCTGTGTTTTAAAACTCTATACTGTAGGTGCAAATGTATGACCTCCATGAATTACTGTTAAGGACATCTTTTTTTTATGGACATCTTAACTGTTTGAAACAACATCCAACATTTGAAATTGTGATATCATAGCACCAAAAGTAATTAAAACCTGTGTTAAATACTTTGCCTTTCTATGAGTCAGACAGGTAACCTTAGGCAAACAACAGTAGCACTGACTGAGGTTGTTGTGAGCTTATCTATATAATTAGTCTGAAGTTGAAAATGAAATGAATGAGAAAATGCCAAATGTAAGGAAATTTCATGAAGATAATGTTGGGTAAAAACCTCCCTATTGCTTGCAGGCACACAGTTGGAAGACAGGCTCACTCAAGTACAGTACTAAGTTCTGCATCTTACTGACTAGAGGAACACAGAGACCTAGACTGCTGAGTTAAGCCTTAATGCCAATGCATAGGAACATACTGGAAACCATTGACGTGCATACAATCATGTGCAGCATAACATCATTTTGGTCAATAATGGACCACATATACGACAGTGGTCCCATAAGATTATCATACTGTATTTTTACTGTACCTTTTCTAATACACAAATACCATTGTATCACAGTTAACTACAGTATTGAGTGCAGTCACAGTTAACTACAGTATTGAGTACAGTATTGAGTGCAGCCACAGGTGTGTCACTCAGGAACAACAGGATACAACATACGGGCTAGGTGTGCAGTAGACTATGTCGTGTAAATTTGTAAACTCTAGGATGTTCCCACAATGACAAAATCATTCAATTGAATTACATTAAATTGATGAATGCTACATCTTTCAATGGAGAAATGATCATACAAAACTGGTAAAACTGCTTTGGAGCCTATGCCAGAGCAGAGATGGGGAAGAATGTGTAAGGGAGAGAATATTGTAGGGTTCCAGAGGCAGAACACGATAATACCAACCCCAAGAAGAGAGGATTCCACCTAAAACGGCAGATAATGAGATCACATCAGACTTTGTGAGTCAAAGCACTGCTGGGAAATCAAGGAGACGGGTTCACAGTGCATGAGGCCAGAGGTGGAGATCCCAGACAATGATGTTCCTAGAGGAGAAAGAAACTTGGAAGAAGGAACAACTTGGAACCTTGGTAGAAACAGGAAGGAAGTAAAAAAGAGTGGAAATTAAGTTTCCTATAAAAATAAAAGCAAGCCGGGTTCGGTGGCTCAGCCTGTAATCCCGCGCCTTTGGGAGGCTGTGGTGAGTGGATTGCCTGAGCCCACCGGTTCGAGACCTGCCTGGGCAGCGAGACCTCATCTCCACAATAAATCAAAAAATCAGCCGGGCTTGGTAGCACGTGCCTGTAATTCCGGCTACTCGGAAGGCTGAGGCAGAAGGATTGCTGGACCCCAGCAGGTCGAGGCTGCGGTGGCCGAGAGCGGCCACTGCACTCCAGTCTGGGCAACAGAGTGAGACTCCAACTCAAAAAATAAATAAATAAAATAAAATAAAAGCATATCAGGGTATAAGAAAACACACTGATTTAACCTTATCTCTAAAAACACTATATTTTTTAAAACTACATTTTGTTGACCAAAAGAAAAGGATGCTCTTGGACAAAGAAACCTGGTAAACCACCTTATGTCCCTTGACACACCCCCTTCCCTGTTATGGACACCTGTATATTGCTAGTTCAGGACAATCCAAGTACTTTTAAAATAAACAGAAAAAAGGTGTGTAAAATCCCTTTGGGTAAAGAATCTTCCCACAGTAGCAGACCATCTCTGAAGTCCATCATGGTTCTGTGAGAAAGAAAAAGAAAGTGAAAACTAAACCTTTTTAGCTGATGAAATAACTCCACAATAACAAAGCAGAGGAGAGCTCCCACACATCACTGCAGTACAAAGTAAAACTAGTAAAAAACATGTGCAGATATGAGAAACACTAGAAAAGAAAAAATATCAAGAATACAAATGGACAATTACAATAAAAAAGAAAGCTGTGAAATAATAATTCATTTAACCTCTGAAACAAATGAAATAGAAGGACAGAAATCAGCCTAGAAATAAAAGTTAAGTTACAAAGTGCCAAAAGAGAGTAAATTCGATTAAATGTATAAGTGACATTGAATAAGGACTAAAAAACATTGAGAAAATGAAACATATGAAGAGATTATAAATGATCAAAGAGACAGATATAGAACATAGGCCAAAAAAGATTCAAGAAACATGTATTGGAGTTTCCAAAAAAGAAAAGCAACACTATGAAACAGAACTAATACTTAAGCTCCTAGAAATGTTTTTAGGGAAAAAATAATTTATGAATTGAAAAGACTCATCATGTACCTAAACAAATTACCCCAGAATGGTCACCTACAAGGCATATTCCAGCAAATCACTAAGACTTAAAGATAAAAATCTTTGGGTCTCTAGGCAAAAAGACCAGATCATTCAACAAAGGAAAAAAAACCAGAATGGGATCAGGCTTTCCCACAGCAATGTACAAAATAGGTGAACAGTGGAGCAAAATTTTCATAAACCCAAGTAAAAATAAAGTGTGACCAAAGGATTTTATGTCAGCAAAACTATCCTTGAAAATTAAAGTTATAGAAAAATAGTTTTAAATATTTAAGAACTCAACAAATACTGTGTTCACAAGCCCTTCAAGAGAAACATATTACAAGATAATCTCCCTCAAACCAAGAGATAATTGGGAGCTTTGGCATAGACAAAAATAATAAGTCTTTATTGATCAAAGGCTAAAACAAAGGGTGAGGAAAGGATTAAGAGGTAGTATGAAAATGAGTTTTTGGGGAGGCAGTATGGGAGATGCTGTACTGAAAAAGGATAAATACAATAAGTCAAACAGAGGTAGATAAGTCAGAAAAAAGGGAAAGTAGAATAAGATCTTTGAGGCATAGAAAACAGGTAGGAGAAAATAATATCACATAAATCTGACAAACCAAATAAAGAAGTCAGAGAAAGAAACATAGGAATAAGGTATTATAAAAAATTTTATAAAGGCAACCAATAGAACAAAAATACAAACCTTCCTAAACACCAGAAGAATTAAAAAGAGAAAAAAAGCAAAAATGACAAACCACATTAAAAATATAAAAAGATGTACAATAAATAAAACACAATACACACATCAAAAACAGGAACAAGTTATATGGTAGTTAGGACTGAGCATATCAGTTGCATCAACAAACAAAGAAATTCAGATTGGCTCACAAAACCAGCCCTGCTTTATTAGAGAGATACACAATTGCTAAGTGATTTTAAAAAGGCTAAAATATCAAGAAAAGAGCATCAAGAAAAGTATATCATGCAAATGCACAAGGCTAAAAAGCATAGGTTGCAATCTGTATATCAGATGAGGTACAACCTTCCTTCAAAACATTAAACATGACTAAGAAGGGCACCTTCTGATGCTGAATGACTCAGTTCATAATGACGCTCCATATTAGTCAAGAATTTACAAGAACCCCAAAACACAGAAGTTGGCTTTATAAAGCAGAAACTCTAGGTATTGGAAAAAGAAACACAAACACAATAGTAATAGCAAAGTTAACACATCACTGTCAGCCCAAGCAAGTAAAGGAGTCAGAAATAAACAAACATGAAAGAGAGCTAATACGAGAAGGCAGACACTAGGGACATACACATTACATTGAACATGATATTCTGATAATAGGAACAGACTTCTTAAATGCACTTGAAACATTCATTAAAAACCTAACTTATATTAGGGCATAAAGAAAATCTCAGTGTGCTAAATGAAACAGAAATGGTGCAGACAGATGACAGCAGTCTCTAATAATGCAAGACCAGAAAATAATGAAATACCCTTTAACCAAAGGATATTCCAGGAGTAATTCACATTGTTTTAGAAACATCTAAAGAGACTTGGTTCACTACATACACACACACAAACACACATTCCTAAATTGTCACTAAATTTATAAGGAAGAACATGACATCAGAAATCTACAAAGTGATGTGACAGACAGACACATTCATGCAATGACCCACTTCTTCCAACCTCACCAGCATGCCTCAGGAAACCTGAGACAAAGCGCCCTGTGGAGCTGACACGAGCATGATGAAAATCTCATGAGGAACAGCTCTGCTGTTCCCTTTCCAGTGGCACAGAAGGAAAGGAGACTGAGAAGACAAATGAGGTGTGTGGTCCCCTTCCTCACCTCTGGCCTGTCCATGCTGTGCAACCCCATGAGTGGTGGTTTTAACATCTTGCTGAACAGGCTGCCACAACAAGTCAGCTTCAAAGGCAGGGCCCCCAAGGGTGGCACATTCCTTCCAGGGCACAGTACAGACAAAAGAAGCGCACTCAGTTGCAAACTACACACATGCACACAGAGGCAAATGTACATGCTCTCACACATGTGCACACAGTTGCATAAGCAGCTTACATTTTCACCTTTTTAACAAATGGCTCAGGCTTCACCAGAAGGTTTGAAACCCTGAATAATCACAAGGTAATGTATTAGCCCCACTGTTCTTTGCTGGGCTTCCTCCA